TATTGGTTGGAGATCTGTCAATTCGTCCGTCGTCGTACGACGTGGACGAATTGACAGATCTCCAACCAATAGAAACACTTTCGTATCATCGTACCATCGTATAAACGGTTGCATAGGCACACGGGCTTATGGCATTTTTTAATTTTTCTATCTGAGAAGACAAATCATTTGCGCTTGGGAGCACAAAATCGACATTTAAATAAACCCTTGTTGACTGTTCGCTGACAAAGGAATCGGCGTAAAAATGGCCCGATTGTCGCAAAAGCGACCGTATCTCATTACTTGCATGTGGTCTAAAAAATGCCCCCTGTCAACTCATACATAACGACTCGGCCTTGCCCTTAGCGATTAACGGCCGTTATCAAGCTGCCCTTTGACTTATGCGCGATGGAGACGTTACGCAAACTCAATTTCCCATCAGGATTATCTCTTTTGCTTAGATTTTTTCAATCAGCCGCTGTGCGCTCTCTCGGCTGGACTCTTGCTTGTTCATCAGCTATTTTTGGACGTTCCGCCTTCTCCCGAGCTGGACTGCTTAGGGACAACCCGCTGAAGATCTCTAATAGTTCCCGATTTAATTAATCGACAACTATAAGCAGTGATAGCTAGTTCTAACTTAAAAAATCCAAACATCGGCTAAACGAATTTTGTCAGCAAGCAGAAGAACGTTTGCAATCGACTCCGGTTGAACATCAAAGTTGCCATCAAGAAAGCGCATTGCCATCTTCAAAGCCGTGCGGCTTTGATAGAGAGAAGAAGGCCGCAACAGCCAAAAAAGGAACAAGTTTGGAATTAGAACAGCAATAATCGAGGTGTTTGTGCGAGCCATTGTTTTTAATTGTCAATTGGTGGTGAAGAAAACGCGAACAATTGCGGTAAGTACCCACTTAACATTTAATACAGGGCGGCTGTTCTGATACAGGGTGATTGATTTAAATAAACCAGAAATCTGCAAGCAGATTTCATTCATTGTTTCTACCGAAACAAACTTAGTTGTGCGGCTGTTGACACTTTTTTTCTTTGCTGTCCCAATCAACATACACAATTGCGCAAAAAATTCAACACTCCCATCCTTGAACTCTTAGGGCTGGGCGCCGATTTTAAATAAATTTTCCTAATAATTAAAGCGCGCCATCAATAACAGAAAGATCGAGGTCCATTTAAGGTCAGGCTTAAACACTTCCGCCGCATATAAAATCATATCCGTCCGATCGAGCCGATTTAGTTCCATGAGATCGCGTTTTTACGCGACATAAGTTCAAGATCTCCGAGCCAAGCGACTCTCTTTTGTGCGAATAGAGGCGAAATTTGAACGGGAATTGAAATTGCCACCCTCCGTCATGGACTTAGAGGCGATAAAGGAACAGTTGAGTGTGGTGGAGGATTTGGCGGAAGCCTTTTCCGACGTCAGTCTTCTGAGTGGGAAAAAAGTGCAGATGCGACTGGCGGCCAAAAGTCTTGCGTTGAAATACGGATACGTCAATGAAAATGAGGAGTTCGTTCCTCCTCCGGAGGTGCTTCTCTATTTAGTGAGGTAAGTGGAGGAGTTTCAAGCTGGAAATGTCGTCGATTTCATAACAACATGAGTGAGGAGGTTCGAGTAGTTTTGACCCAGGAGGCGACATTTGGATATCAGACGCTTAGGTGCAAGATTGTGCCAAAATTTCGTGTTTTTCGTCCAGTTTTTGCTCATTTCTCGGAAGCAAAATGAGTAAGGACGCTTATTTTTACCTTATTGCAAAGAGAAATAAATGGCCTTTTTAGAAAGTGAACCATCGATAAGGGAATGTCTGCAGTTTTCTCAAAAAGTCTTAATTTCCAGAAGTTTCTAATTTGAATATCAGACACTTGGGGGCAAGATTATGCCAAAATTTTATGTTTTCCGTTCCGTTTTTGCTTTGATTTGAAATTGAAAATTGGATTCGATTAGAACTCGTTTGAAACATAAAAATCTTATGGTTTGTTGATTTTCCTCAGATTGAAAATTGTGGACAAATTCAGCGCGATTTGAGCCAAAGAAGCTTTTGAGTCCCGAAAAGTTTCCGGGCATACATTTTTGTACGGGAATCTTCAACACCCACAATATTTTCGCATTTTGAAACTGCATTTGAAAGATTGAAACCTTCTCGTGCTCCCAATTTGCGCAGATTAAAAATTGATGATAAACTAAACGCGTTTTGCGCTAAGGAGTGTCTTGAGCAATCTGAAGATTCCCGATCAAATCTGCCGTTAGCTCCGTTATCTTAAGGGACTTTATACACTTAAAAATGCGCTTCAAACATGGAAATCTCCTCGTTCTTCCTTGTCCCGCAGATTGAAAATTGGTGATAAATTGGGCGCGTTTCGAGCAAAAGAGCGTCTTCAGTGTTAAAACCTGAGGATTTTCGCATAAATCTGCCTGTAGCTCCGTTATCCTAAAAGATTTTCCGCTCATAAAAAATACATTTGAAATATAGAAACCCTCCCGTTCGTCCATTTGCCGCAGATTGAAAATTGATGATAAACTAAGCGCGTTTTGCGCTAAAGAGTGTCTTGAGCAATGAAATCTGAAGATTCCGGATCAAATCTGCCGTTAGCTCCGTTACCTTAAGGGACTTCGCACACTTAAAAATGCGTATTAAACATGGAAATCTCCTCGTTCTTCCTTGTCCGCAGATTGAAAATTGGTGATAAATTGAGCGCGTTTCGAGCTAAAGAGCGTCCTCAGTGTTAAAACTTGAGGATTTTCGCATACATCTGCCAGTAGCTCCGTTATTCTAAAGGATTTTCCGCTCATAAAAAATGCATTTTAAAGATAGAAACCCTCCCGTTCGTCCATTTGCCGCAGACTGAAAATTGATGTTAAACTAAGCGCGTTTTGCGCTAAAGAGTGTCTTGAGCATTGAAATCTGAAGATTCCCGATCAAATCTGCCGTTAGCTCCGCTATCTTAAGGGACTTTGCACACATAAAAATGTGTTTCAAACATGGAAATCTCCTCGTTCTTCCTTGCTCCGCAGATTGAAAATTGGTGATAAATTGGGCGCGTTTCGAGCAAAAGAGCGTCTTCATTGTTAAAACCTGAGGATTTCCGCATCAATCTGCCGGTAGCTCCGTTATCTTAAAGGATTTTCGGCACATAAAAAATGCATTTGAACGATAAAAGCCCTCTCGTTCATCCATTTACCGCAGATTGAAAATTGATGATAAACTAGGCGCCTTTTGCGCTAAAGAGTGTCTTGAGCATTGAAATCTGAAGATTCCCGATCAAATCTACCGTTAGCTCCGTTATCTTCAGGGACTCTGCTCACTTAAAAATGCGCTTCAAACATGGAAATCTCCTCGTTCTTCCTTGCTCCGCAGATTGAAAATTGGTGATAAATTGGGGGCGTTTCGAGCTAAAGAGCGTCTTCAGTGTTACAACCTGAGGATTTCCGCATAAATCTGCCGGTAGCTCCGTTATCTTAAAGGATTTTCCGCACATGAAAAATGCATTTGAACGATAAAAGCCCTCTCGTTCGTCCATTTGCCGCAGATTGAAAATTGATGATAAACTAGGCGCGTTTTGCGCTAAAGAGTGTCTTGAGCATTAAAATTTGAAAATATTCCTGTAGCACCATTATTTTTATGGACTTTTAGCACTTGAAAAACGCATTTGAAAGATGGAAACCTTCTCGTTTGTCCATTTGCTGCAGGTTTAAAACTGTAGACAAAAAAAATTGAGGAAAAACTGAGCTAGTTTTGAGCTAAACTGAGTGGGTGATTCTCAGCTAAATATTCTGCATTTTAGGCGTGAACTTCGCCCGATTGGATCAACAACATAAAAATATTTTGAGCTTATTTGACTCAGAGACGATAAATCACATACATTCCATCTCTTTCGCCATTTTTTCATAGTAAATCGCCGCCAAAGTGTATAAACAGCCGATACGAACGACTAATTTATATATAAAACAGTCGCCCGAATGCTTGGAAGCCAAAAACCGCGTCCGTAATTTCCAACTAATCCCACAATCATTCCAAGAACGCATTTTTGCTAAACTCGCTGCCAAAACGGCTAAAATTAACCGAAAATGTCGCCGTTTTCCCCCTAGTTCTCATTGTTTAGTTTGGGATCTCGTAGTGGCTGCGTCACAGTATTTGTTTAATATTCACGTGAGTGTTGATAGGAATATTAATTAACTGGCGATCGTAAAAAAATTGCCAGTTCAGTCGCTTACGTGCCTGAAATCGCGAGTTTGCTTCCGCAACAGCTGGACTTGGATTGGCGAGAATGTTGTGAGTTTTACGTGGAAACTTTGAAAAGTTTCCCAGATTTCATCCAACACGCCAAACCAACCGAAAATTCCATTTGTGCAACTCACTTTGGGCGCTCACAGCGTTAACCAAATGGCGCGCTTTTCCATCCAAACTTTGCGCTTCCATCGTTTCTTCTGTCTTTCGTCTTAATCTAAACTGCAATTAAAGCAAGCGCCAAAAATAAAATGTGTTTTTCATTAACAGGCATCGAGACTCTTGATGTCCCGACCACGCCCAATGCTACTTCTTAATCGGACTAATGGAAAATCGCCCAAAAGTCCTCGCCGTGGGTGTTTGAAAATACGTTGTTGTCCCCTTTAGTCCACGATTGTATGCAAAATACGAAAACCCAATTGAGTATCGGCGAAAAAGCAGTCAAAGTCCTTCTAGATGGCGTCTAGACGAGCTCTGTTTCTCTCGGCCAGAAGATTTGAACGATTGTTGACTTCTTTCCCAAGGTAACACTTTGTTATTTAGTGCATGCTTTTTCTGTTTGTGCTGTTTAATTTAGCGTCGTCCTGTTATGTGCACACTGTTTAGAATGCTAATTCTCTTCTTGGGTGGGGGCACATCTACTTACAAAACCTTCCTAAAGAAGTTTTGTCCTTTAAGTCCCACAATAGACCGTCGAACGGTTAGGAACTATTCAGTTTTTTCGGTAAATGGCCTTTATGATCTCTTCGTCTGTAAAATCAACCATCAAAATGCGAATAATAATAGCAAAAAAATGCTCATGAACTTTGTCGCTGCTGCCGATAAAGAAGCCGTAAACGAAATTGTTTGTCCCAAACTGAATTATTAACAAAGTCCGCTTACACTCTCACTATCAGGAAATAATGGTGGAATTAAAATGCAAATTAATCTCCTTAAGTGTCCGCTCGATGGGGCCGAAGTGAAATTGAATAGTAACCGATTGTTATTGCAGCACCAAAGTTGCAAAATAGTTTGTTTCTCGTGCAATACATTTGATCTCTGAGCTTAAATGGGTTCAATTGACAAATTAGAGGTGAAAACATTGGACAAATGGACCAACACTTTTTACTCAAACCGATCAGAAATTAATCAGAATGAACAGATGAATGCCTGGAATAATCAGTCGATTCACCGGCAGAGACTAAATATCAAGAGAAAGTGAACAAAGTTGTGGATAAGTTCTATATTGTTGAAGCGGATTCATTTTTTTACAAACTGTTTTTTTTTGTCTTAAATAATTTGAAAAATTCCACCTTTCGGCAATTTTTGAGGCGAAATACCCAACAAACAGTTTGTAAAACAGTGAACAAAATTGAAAAACAGGGGCTTTAGTGAGTTTGGGTTTGCTCTAGAAAGACGGAAGGTGAATTGCAGTCTACAAGTCGAAGATTCCCTAATAAAACTTTAGTCCACTAAAATCCTTGAAATTTTTCTAATTACAAAAGACAAAAACTATCCAACATCCACCGCTAACATGAAAAGGTACAAGAAATTGTCAGTTTTCGCTCAAATAAATGAAAACTAGTGATTTTTCATAGATGATTGCTGCAAACCACCTCTGAAGAACATCAAAGCCAGAAAAAATCCCCAATTTGCATTCACTTTATTTTAATTTGCCAATTAATGGGACGACGGAGCCGCATAAACAAAATCTGAAAATCCCAAAAATCCAGGAAAAATCACCAATTTTCCTTATACAATTTAAAATATGTTTTTCAACCTCTCGCCCTGAAAAGTTGCCAACTAAGCGGAATTCCCGATAATCCTTGCACGCCTGTAAACAAACCGTCAGGATTCGTTACGAAATGGTGTTGGAAATTGGAATTTGCCCCTTTCCAGCATCACTTTATCTTATTTATTTCGATAAGAAAATGTGTGGTTTTTGACAAACATTCGGTATTATTCGGCAGAAGCGTCCGCCCGGTTAAAACACTTGTTTTATCGATAAAATTTGCTAAAAATAGTTGCCAAAGTCGTACGATTTCACTGTACGATAGTAATCCTGGCCATCTTTCCAGGCATTTGCACACTTTTTCCGGCTAGACGTTGATTTTTGTGATTTTCTTTAAGTGATTGTGACACTAACATGGGTGCTAGTTCGCAAGAAACGATGCTAATCTGTTGGCCTAAACAGTAAGTTTCACAGAACTTCGTGTGTCAGTTTATATTAATATTGTTCACTTTTGAACAAACAGTTTTCGTCTTTTTTTGGAAAACTCCCAATTCTCGACCTCCACACATGCTGCATACATTTAAACGGATCACAAAGGAAATCTACCGACATTGATGGCACATTAATTTACATACGTACTCCAGTTTACAACGGAATAAAACTGGCGGGTTTTGCATTGTCTAAATCGCAACTTGAGCGTTATTTGAGTTTTCTAAATTCCAAGTCTTTCTCTTTTTCGTTGCCCAATTGTTCAGCTGTTCACAGCCAAAATTATCAATAAAATTGCGGCTTTTCGTCAATATTTGTCGCTGGTTAATGCTGTATCGTTTTGAATCTTTCACGTCTTAAATGGTTCAGTCACTCACTTTAGCTTAACTATTTTTCTTCCTATCTGATTCTTTTGAGCTTGATAACAGATTTAAACTATGCAAATATTTATAAAACCAGCATTTTTTTGCACCGAAAAAGTGCCACTTTGATGTATTAAAAACATAAAAATCGAGATATACAGTGCGATCAAACTCCAAGCGCATTTGAAAAAATCGACAATGTAACAAAAAACTTAGACTTTCCCTCTGAAGATGCAAAGCAAAAGCCCGAAAAACTCATCAGTTTGAACCATTAATTTCTATTTTCCTTTGAAAATGAAAATTCCTCGCAAAATTACCTACTTTTGTTCGCGCTTTTAAACTATTGGAAGCACAAATAAAACCTCGCTTGTATATTAGTGTTCAAACACTGGGTAACTGCATGAAAGATGAAGCAACTGATCAAGCAACAAAACAGCAGATAATAGCGTAATAAAAGGTGCAAAAACCGAGCTTGAGCTACTTAGAATTCCGCCTCCGGTATCAGGAAGAAGTAGAATAAAATTGAAACAAAACAACATATTGTTATGCAGTCGTAGCAGTACTAGGCGGTACATACATACGGTTCAGTACCCAAACTGGTCACTGACGGTAGGTTCGATTTCCTGCAGCAAAAATTGCGCTCGCCCGAATCACATCAACAGTAGCGAAGATGAAGAAAATGCTGGCCGAAGATGCTGAATTTGCGATGCGTTGTGAAAAACGCGAACTTTTGGTCATGGAGAACAGGGCCATTAAAAATGTGCAGGAACGCATTAAAAGTATGCTGTTGCGGTAAGTGAATGCTGGCACCCCGAAGAAAACAGCGACAACAGTAGATTTACAACCAGTTTTGGATGTTTTAGCAAAGGCGGCAAAGAACATCGGGTTTAAATCAGTAATTTTTGCAGAATGGGCAGCTTTAATTCGGCCTCAAAGATCATCAACGACGATTGCCAGGACAATGACGTGAACCTGCCGAAGAACATTAGCAGATCTGAACTTCTGCAATATTGCCATGAGCGCCCTTACGGCCAACTGATGTTCAAAAGAGCCTTCAAAAAATCCAATGGGAAACGAGCAGACGAAAGCGACAACATGGGGATCAAACTCAGAAAATTGCACGCTGTTACCGAAGGTAAGCAGACTTTGTTCTGGTTTTAATCTTTGAAAAATCAAATGTGATCTGCAACTAGTTAAACGTTTAATTGACTAAACCATGCATTAAAACCGGAAAAAACTTAATGGCTACTTTACAATTCATATTGATTTACAACCCAGTCTCATCGAACCATTTTTTAAGGCCTGTATCAATTACGATGCAAATGCAGTTTCCGCTGGTATTATTTAAAAACGTAAATTTCCTGCAACTTTCCGCTTTTTTACCGTGCAAAGCTAAACTGCAAACAATTTAATTCCAATAAATTATCATTTGCATCAATCACCAAGTTTAGCATTAATTGAAAATCGCAGTTTTTTCCCGGGTGCTTTTCAACCAGGTCTCGTATAGAGCGGAGGAACGACAGAGACAAGCAAAATTTGCTATATTGCTCTTTGTCTGGAGCACGGGGGCGACCTGCTCCAAACGCGCTTCTCGCCCTTCGAATGGAAGGTTTATGTTACGAGGGGCGTCTTTTAAGTGGCTGGCAAACTTCAGCAAAAAAATTGTGCCGCAGATTTAAAAATTTTGCAATTTTTAGGGCCAAATCTACAGATTTTCTAGCTCAAAGTCGATAAATACCCGGAAAATTAAAATAAACCAAAATTTTTGTAGGAAAACAATGAATCTCGATCGATTAAAAAGGTTTAATGTGGCTTTTTTCAGTTTGCAGTGACTACACGACCAGTCCTCATAGCCTGCGGCTGTTCCAGTGGAATATATTGTCTCAAGGTAATACTGAATTAGGAAAACTTATTAAATCCGCCTAACTAAAGGTCCCAGATTCGCTAAATCTGGCGAGTCTGATGGCCAGCAGACGCAATTTTATTGTTAAACTTTGTCGAAGTTACATGTGCGGAAATTCCCGAGAATAAGAAATTTCCAAATTAGTGTCTAAAAAGTCTTTCAGTCAACTTTTAGGGCAATCATTGGGACTTATGCCCGGTTTCCGAACTCCAACATATCGGTTACATAAGCTTATGAGTCTTATAAACTACCAAAATCACGTCTGTTGGGTTTCTCAACGTCTGTTTAAAGCTTATTGGTTCCATAAGTTATCGAATAGATAGATATCTACTTCATAACGTCTGCCGCAAGCGTGTAGGGTTTGTTTTTATTTTTACAACAGGCGATTCTAACCTAACATAACCTATTCTTATTACATAACAGTTTTGTTTTGTTTAACGTATACAAATTTATTATCATTATTTAAAATGGATAATTCGAGATAAAAACACGAGAGCTTTTACATCAAATATGTGGCTGTTTTTTGAAACATCTTCAAACCATATGTTTACCGACCGATCAAAATGAGTTTTTTTGTGGCGTCATCTAGCTTGCGATGCACAAAAGTGAAAATTCTTTACTATCCGCTTCTTTTTTACCGGTATTTCGCACCTTCCGTACTACCAGCCAAAAATGGAACATACCCTATCAAGCAGTTCCCTCTGTGGGTCGAATTAAAAAGGTACTTATCCAACGGATTGTTATGAGCTCGATACTTGTCTGTCACCCACCTGTCACCGTTCGGAAACCCATAAAATCTTATCGGTCTTATAACTTTATCCACTACATAGTTATGGAACCAATAAGGGCAAATGTTGAGAAACCGGGCATTATACACGCAAATTCACACTATCTTTCCTTTAGCTTTGGGCAAAGAAAACGACAACTTTGCAAGATGCCCCGAAGAAGCCCTGGATTGGAACCACCGCAAGTACCTCATTGTGGAAGAAATCATCGAATACTGCCCAGACGTGATTTGCTTGCAGGTATTTCCGATCGCTCTAGCGCTAAATAGAACCTAAAGCTCGTGCCTTTTAAAGGAAGTCGACCATTTCCACTTCCTCAAGCACGTGCTGGAAACTCAGGGCTACACTGGCATGTTCTTCCCCAAGCCAGACTCGCCGTGCTTCTATATCGACGGGAATAACGGCCCTGATGGCTGCGCGATCTTCTTCCGAACCGACAAGTTCGAGCTGCTCCGCGCGGAAACTCGAATATTGGAAATTTGGCGAATACAAAGCAACCAGGTGAGTGCGAAGCGTTTCAACGAACCAACTTTCTGCAATGTCTGGCTTGCAGGTGGCCCTACTGATGATCCTCAAAGTGAAGCAAACTGGACAGGAGATTTGCGTGGTCACCACGCATCTGAAGGCCCGAAGAAGCGCGCTATTGGCCACTTTGAGGAACGAGCAGGGCAAAGACTTGCTGGAGTTTGTCAGGCAGAATTGCGGCGATAGACCGACGATTTTAAGCGGGGACTTTAACGCCGAACCTGCGGAACCCATTTATGGAACGGTGTTGGGCAGCGGCCAACATTTGGCCAGTGCCTATGCCGAATGCGCTGGAAATGACTGGTAAGAAAACACGAGGAAAACGTTTTCAAACAATAAGGCTGGGCTTTTTTGGGCAGGATTCCATCAGACAAACGGGAGCCTCCCTACACCACCTGGAAGATACGGGACGAGGGCGAAGTGTGTCACACAATCGACTACATTTTCTACTCAAAAAACAAACTCGATGTTGATGGAGTGTTGGAACTGCCCACGGAAAAGGACATTGGACCGGACCGAGTCCCCAGTTTGCGTTACCCAAGTGATCATTTCTCCTTGATTTGCGACTTTCGGATACGAACTCACTCCAGTCAGGCCGATAGTGATACGAATGTGAACACTTCTTAGGCTTTACCGAGACTCAGTCGCATTCTAATCCAATTTTATACCTACACTGTTGTTGTGGCATTTCTTAAGTATCCATGTGATTCGATTGTATTATTTGTATATGTATGTGTAAATAGACGAAATGTACTTACGAAAGCAAAAGACATACCCAAAATGTTGACAATTTTAAAAGATTGTTTTGCGACAAATCTAATCAAGAATTATCAAAATTCCTTACCGGTTCCACTTGAGAAGATCTCGAATTGCATGGGGAAGTGAAGCAAACAGCGCTGCTTGTAAAAACATTTACATTCCTTGAATGAACATGAGCATTCGATTCCATTACAAATAACATATACATAAAAATATACATCGTGTGGTTTATATCAATTTCATAACAGTGCTGCAATAGTACAATCAGACACAATCACTTATATACATAATGTAGGAGATTTCTATAAGGGTTTGGCTTTCGACTGAAGAATTGACCCAGGGGGAAGACACGGACCTTCAAAAGTACTTTTAGTAGTTCCCAACGATCACCAAATAGATGTTTGTATGTGTCCAAGTCCATATGAAACACACTAGTTAAATAAGTTAAGCGTTTCTGATAAACAACCAGCCAAAAGTTGAAAAACGGGGCCACCCTCAAGGCGAAGTAAAAATACACAATAAATCCAAACAGGGCCCAGTCTGCGACTGCAGCATCTCAATAATAACTAAACAATAACTAATCTCACCTGCTAAAGCCGACAACGCATCAATAAAATAAATACTATAAAGGAGTTAATTGAACTAAAATTAAGGACTGAATAAGTAATGTGGGGGAATTAGAATCACTATTAGAATAATTAAAGAACTTAATTAAATAGAACGGAGTTCGGGTCTTCATTGTCCATTTGTTTTATGTGGCGCAGCACGTCCTTTTTCGTTATTACACCTAATAATCTCCTGAAAAGAAACAGGCTCTCAGCATTATGGAGACAATCAAAGAAGCTACGAAGTGCTAACGAAACATGCAACGACACCAAGTAGGAGATGGAATGAAATGAAGACACCATCAAGCAAAAGATCAGGAAAGGACCAAAGGGACTGTTAAAGCTTCGGTCTACACCTTCAGGCAGTGACAAGACGAATAAACTATAGTGTGCAATCTACCGCTTATTTATACTGTTTCTGTACACCAAGAATAAGAAATAATGCATGTGTATCGTTTATAAATTGTATATACTTTCCTGACTGTGTTTCAATTCCTAATCAAATTCATTCCTGGGCTTCAGTCATTTATTGGCTCTATTTATCAATCAAAATACGTTTGGGTGTATTTTTCCACCTTCATCAGTTTTTATGTGTAGCGTTGTTGCTGCTTTAAGCCTTGGCATGCATTTTTTTGTTCAGAAAAAAATGCATTTGAACGATAAAAGCCCTCTCGTTCGTCCATTTGCCGCAGATTGAAAATTGATGATAAACTAAGCGCGTTTTGCTTGAAAATACTTTAAGATAACGGAGCTAACGGCAGATTTAATCATAAATCTTCAGATTTCAATGCTCAAGAGCCTCTTTAGCGCAAAACGCGCTTAGTTTATCATTAATTTTCAATCTGCGGCAAATGGACGAACGAGAGGGGTTCTATCGTTCAAATGCATTTTTCATGTGCCGAAAATCCTTTAAGATAACGGAGCTACAGGCAGATTTATGCGGAAATTCTCAGGTTTTAACACTGAAGACGCTCTTTAGCTCGAAACGCGCCCAATTTATCACCAATTTTCAATCTGCGGGACAAGGAAGAACGAGGGGATTTCCATGTTCGAAACGCATTTTTAAGTGTGCAAAGTCCCTTAACATAACGGAGTTAACGGCAGATTTGATCGCAAATCTTCAGATTTCAATGCTCAAGACACTCTTTAGCGCAAAACGCGCTTAGTTTATCATCAATTTTCGGTGTGCGGGAAATGGACGAACGAGAGTGTTTCTATCGTTCAAATGCATTTTTCATGGGCCGAAAATCCTTTAAGATAACGGAGCTACAGGCAGATTTATGCGGAAAGCCTCAGGTTTTAACAATGAAGACGCTCTTTAGCTCGAAACGCGCCCAATTTATCACCAATTGTCAATCTGCGGGACAAGGAAGAACGAGGAGATTTCCATGTTTGAAACGCATTTTTAAGTGTGCAAAGTCCCTTAAGATAACGGAGCCAACGGCGGATTTGATCGGGAATCTTCAGATTTCAATGCTCAAGACACTTTAGCGCAAAACGCGCTGAGTTTATCATCAATTTTCAATCTGCGGCAAATGGACAAACGAGAGGGCTTTTATCGTTCAAATGCATTTTTCATGTGCCGAAAATCCTTTAAGATAACGGAGCTACAGGCAGATTTATGCGGAAATCCTCACGTTTTAACAGTGAAGACGCTCTGTTAGCTCGAAACACGCCCAATTTATCATCAATTTTCAATCTGCGGCAAATGGACGAACGAGAGGGTTTCTATCGTTCAAATGCATTTTTCATGTGCCGAAAATCCTTTAAGATAACGGAGCTACAGGCAGATTTATGCGGGAATCCTCAGGTTTTAACAGTGAAGACGCTCTTTAGCTCGAAACGCTCCCAATTTATAATCAATTTTCGATCTGCGGCAAATGGACGAACGAGAGGGCTTTTATCGTTCAAACGCATTTTTTTCTGAACAAAAAAATGCATGCCAAGGCTTAAAGCAGCAACAACGCTACACATAAAAACTGATGAAGGTGGAAAAATACACCGAAACGTATTTTAATTGATAAATAGAGACAATAAATGACTGAAACCCAGGAATGAATTTGATTAGCGTTTATAAAGTGGAGTAGCGCATAGCATAAGGGATACGAGCAACCAATCAGCTGTAGATATACAGGAAAATTTCCACGCCAATAATGACCTATTCATTCGATCTTATAGCATAAAAGACTTGTATTTTTCTACATGCACTCAAGTTAAATGCATCTATCTTATTCTTGATGTATAAACCCAGCATTAGACATCGCATAGAACAATGACTTACCCATTGTGTGTGACTAGAGTCTGGCGCAGCCCCAATTTTCTGAACATATCCACTACCGTTTCCATAGGCGTCTGATCCGTAATGGTGATCGGCGCCATATCCAGGATTTTCTTCAATTTAAGCGGCGGCGGTCCCAGCGTTTGAGGCGGGTTGCCGCTGGTGAAGAGCACTAGCGATTGGCCGCAGATTCCATCCACCATCCGCTTTGCATTGGCTGGAAAATAGTCCAATTAACTGCTGCTGCATGTTGTCTAAACTGATACGCTTACCGATGGCCAAGTTGAGATCTTTCCTCAGCACAAACCCAACCAGATATTGCGAATCTCTGGACACCACGACTGGATAACCGTTGTGTTCAGTGTCCTTTAGCAGGGCCTCGATGTCGTCCACTGTGAGCGAATCCTGAGTTATCACACTCAAAGTTTCATTGCGTCTGAAGCAAACGGTTCAATAATAACTGGAAGATTTTGCACTCAGTCAACTTACTTCGGTTGCATCACATCGGCAGCCAGACTGGTATGTTGGAACTCGTCCTTTGAATCCAGGAAAGGATAACCGTTTAGGGCGATGTGAGCGTCGTAAATTCCCTGGCGACCCAGCGCGTCTCCAACCCACTTGCTGGCCATAGCGGCGGCCATTAGGGGCACAATATAACGCACCCCGCCGGTTAATTCGAACATGATCACCACTAAAGAGACAGTCATCCGGGTGACGCCGCCCAAAACTGCTGCAGCACCCACCATTGCATATAAGCTGAAATGCGATGCGGGCAATGAAAATTTGTTGAGCTGAAGGCACGGGAAACAGTGTTTACCCGGGCGTGATGCAGTCCTCTCCACTGGAACATTCGCCGCTAAAGAACCAATTTTTCGGGTAGTTGTAGGCGAGCTGCTCCATGAGAATGCCGACAATTCTGCCCACAATCGCTCCTAGGCACAGCGACGGGATAAACAGCCCACAAGGAACCTTCATGCCGAACGTGAATATTGTCATCACCAACTTGAGGATCAGCGCAATGATCAGCAACCAGATGGCATTATAAACCCCTGGCCCGGCGGCTGCTAGATCTATGGCGGATTTTACGTTCGTGAAATTTCTATTGTAGTCGCTGCAAAAAATCAATCTCAGTTAAAAACCCATTGGCTAATGGACGTTTTACCATATGGGGTCGGAGTTTGCGATCCCGCATTGGCTGAACAGCAAGTAGATCAGCTCACTAGTGTTCATTCTGGTGTAGGGGTTGGGGAAGGCGATCAGAGCAGTCAGGGCTGTAATCACCAGAACTTCCGTCACTGGATACTGGCCCAGTTTTGAGTACTTCCTGTATCGGCACCAGTACAGGTTCCCTTTGATAAATATCGTCGCTATTACGCCCTAAAAAAGCAATTTTAGCTAAGCCTAGCTGGAAGACAGCGTCAGCTAGCGTACCCCTATAACTCCCAGGCCGATGAAAGGGATCAGCTCGAAGAATATCCACGGCTTGTTGTACTCCACGTAAAACAGCACAGAGTGCTCGTTTCCGAATGGATTAATCGACCTGAGGATGAACGCCGCTATTAAGGCGCAAAAGAAGGATCTCCACAAGGTTTTCAGCGGGAAGTAGTAACTGACCTAAAAGGCGGTTGTGTTTAAAACACATTGTTGAAAAATCCCCTAAAAATACGTACTTCCTCCAAGCTAAATAGCACTCCCCCGATGGGCGCTCCAAAGGCCACGGAAACTCCAGCGGCCGCAGACGCCGACAAGATTTCCCGCTTTTTCGCCTCATTTTTGCCGTACTTTGGAAACAGGTACGAGAGAATATTGCCTGAAAAATCCAAATAGATGTTATAACATGTTTCAGGGTGAAACCTAAAAGCAATTTACCGATAGCGCAAGCGATGTGAACCATGGGGCCTTCTTTGCCCAGACTTAGGCCTGCTGACACCGACAGTATTAAACCGACGCTTTTGATTAAAAGGGTCCACTTGCCCAGGTAGCCCCGTATGATGAAGCCACTCAGGATGGTTTTTATCTAGGGAACAGATGGATTTATTGCTCTGGATTGTAGGGTGTTCGCAAACGTACCTCTGGAATACCGGAGCCGCACGCATAAGGGGCGAACATCCGCACCAGAGATGCTGAAAGCGCCGCAAAGAGCAGGGCCCAGGTGAAGTAGATTAGATAGGAAATAATGTACGGGCCGGCGCCTGACTTGGCCTGTCCGAGGATTTCTGGCCAGGTTCGCCACTAAAACAGCAAAGTTCAGTTGCGCTTAACCAAACCATATAGCCATGCTTGCCTGGGTGCAGTTTCCAGTTTCAAAGCTAGTTTCGTTGGACCAACAGCACTGTTCCCGGTTCAGCCAGAACGCTTGGGGACAAATCCCGAATTTCAGATCGGTCATCCAGCTGGCTCCGATGTCGATCACACCGGCAACTGCACCGGTACACAGCCCAACCAATAAAACACACAACCAGCCCGACCAGGCATCGTGCGCTCCTTCCAGCAGGTTCCAAAAAGAATCCTGCTTCTTCTTCACTATGTGCCTAAACGGGAACCGGTTGACTTGGATGTTGGTCGGGAAGAGCTGCGATTTTTACCTGTGCCGCATCCGATCCCTGGCAATATCCCGTTGCCAGTCGATCGTGTGAAAGTCATCATACTGTCCAATTCCTGGAATATCGCCCGCAGTGTCGGTGGTTCCACTGTAGGAGACTGAGTCTAGGCACATTGATTGATTAGCTAGGCCAAGCAAGGGGACTGAGTTCTACTCACAATGAGAAACTCCGTCATCGTCCTCCAATCGGGTATGTCTGTGGTCGCCGCTGTTAGTGGTCTGGATGTCGATCATTTCGTCATCTGGAAACCCTCTTGAGGGCGCACCGTTTTGTCCGTTCTCCAAGGGATGCCCGTTTGTGTACTGGAACAATAAATCACTTGCGCTGTAAGACTTACTGATCAAATCGTCCCTGGAAAAACCATCTAAAGTGAACTAATTTCAACACAAGATACCACTTTGATACCGATAGAAGGGTGTTGAAGGTACGCGTGGGATGATGCAGTGTAAACAGAGGAATCGGGGCGCAAGAACCGCGCAAAATCGATAAGGAGGTCAGCATTCCCTTTTCCAGTTCGTGTATACGCGGTTGTCGCGTTTAATAAACGATCCAGAAATTGGCCAATTTAACAACACAAAGTGTTGATCAATGACAAAACTTATAATAAATAAAGTTAGTTGTTTATCTTAATCAATCTAGGACAAGGTCCATGTCAAACTATTCCAATAATCCGAGTGTTAAAGGCTAATAAATGATGCCCTAGACTAACTTACCTTTTTGCTCACTGCTTGATAGCTGGAAGACGGATGAGGGCCTGCTGAGGTACGTTTTAAAGGGAATTTTTCCATACTTCCCTTAGAAACTAGAAGTAGAAAGGCAAACGTGCATCATGCAAAATAATCACTATCCTAAACAAGTGCTAAACTGTGATAGTTTTAAAATTGAATAGCAAGTCTTGATAAACTGAGACTCATCTACGCTGGATAAGTAAGTATAATCATTGATATGCTTGGCAGATCAATGTGATTCACTGCGTTATAAATAGCTAGTCCTATAGGCTGGTAAATTAATAAAAAGCCAATTAGAATAAGGCTGAGGAATGGTTTCAGTGTACAGTTACTAGACCTCTAAACAATACTTCTTAAACAGATCGCAGGCGATGGAACTTATCTACTGGGTTTCAGTCATTTATTGTTCTAAATACTTGGCAAGTAAGGTGCAGTAAACAGGCAATGAGCACTGATAAATAAGTAAATAAAGCGTTAAGTCAAGTCGCCCCCTAATGATAATGATTCCGTGGCCATCTGTTGCAATTTCAACAGTGTTATTTCGCAATAGTCTATAGACTGATACTTTTAGGCTTTATGCTAGGCGTAACTTTATATTGTGGCAACAATTAACAGTGAAAGTGCGTTAAAAACGATTAAATAAAAATTCTTCAGATACCAAAACAACAGGAGCTCGAACTAGCGGGTAACAGTCGCCCAGACTTACCATTTTAATATGAACGAAACGTTGCAACAATTTGCAGGATTTCACTTCATTTTTCCACTAAAAACACCATCAACATTGCAGAATTTTGCAAAAATAAATTACTACGTTTCCAGATTAAAAGTATACTGCTACTGTCAGAAGTGTCAGTCAACGATTGTCATCGGCCCGTCACCTGTGCTACGTTGTCAGATCATCTTTTATGGTGTGACTTGGTTATTTGGTTGTATTAGGATAATTGTTTTATTTTTTAATTATTAATTTTAATGTATTATTTATTTGTCCATTTATTTGAGATTTTTATGGAATTTTCAGCATTTTAGTTTAGATGTTTTATAAAGACGGTGGGAATTTCATGTTGTTTCTTATTTTGGAAGCCGCGACTTTTTAATGGAAAGACCGCAATTTGAGTTTCACATTTTTATTTAGGGCGATTTTAAGGAAACTTTCAGCATTGTTAGAGCCAAATGTTTTTTATAAAGATGGTGAAACTTTCCAGTTGCTATCAAAAGAGACAGACTTTCGAGGCCATTTCTTGAAATGAATGGGTACAATTTCTTCCTGACGTTTCGCTAGCACGAGTGGCTTGCATCTTCAGAAGTGGTTGGCTTGAACGCTTACACTGTTCTCATCAGAACCCGTTCAGTTCTTCCGCAGAACCAGTCATTCTACCGAACGACGGCCTAAAAACCCATTAGTTTCAAGGCATGGCCTCGAAAGTCTATCTCTTTTGAATTGTGTAATTAAAAAATCATCCTGATGATGGCTGAAAATCGAAACGCTCAGCATTTATTAAGCAAACTGTTCTTCATCAGGTGCCAAGCCTGAAATTTTTTTAGCTTTTTCGGTTTTTGGGAAACTAATTTTTGCATGAAAGAACTGAAATCTTTGTTCTCGAATACTAACTAGCAGGAATCAAAAATTGTCAAAATTGCTGCGAAAGCGGCTGAAAATCGACACTGCACAGATTAATTTAACGAACTGTCCTCCATAAAATGCAAGAACTTTCAATTTTGTGGCTTTTTCTTTGGTGGAAGAATCAGTTTGTTTAAGAATAAAGCAAATGGGCTTTAAAATCGGGCAACTTCAGTACGAAAAAATTGTCCAAAAGTCCCTGATGACGGCAGAAAATCGAATCTTTTGGTGCTTATTGAAATGCCTTTTCTTTATACAATGCAACTCCGAGCATGTGGCTTTTTTCGTCTTTGAGGCAAAAAAAGTGTTGAAGAAATTTACGCCAAAAACCCATTCAAAT